TCAGCTAACTGACCAATCAGATCCCTTGATGACAGAGCTCTTTGAGCTGATCATGAGAGGGGAGGGGGGAGAGAGAGAGAGACACACACACACACACACACACACACACACACACACACACACACACACACACACACACACACACACACACACACACACACACACACACACACACACACTCACACACACTGTGTTTCCTGAAATTATTCTTCATTTAAAATGTATGATGGTGAAATATATTATTCATGCTTTACAGTTTTCATCCTACAACAGAGACTAAATAAAGCACTGAAGCCTGAAGACTTTTTGTATGTATAGGATATCAAACTAAGCGTACGTGATGCTTTGAAATACATTTTCATATTCATATAAGCCACACACTGCTCCGTATACTTTCAGGCTGCAGCTGAAATATAACCTCTTAAACATTCAGACATGCCATGCACATGATAGATAACTCATTTAAGGAGAGAAACAGGGGTTATTATATTCACTTTGTGCTGTCAGGGACATTAGAACCCTTAATTTTCACATTCAGAAGGTAGATTTTTTTTTCTCAGTTATCCTACATTCCTTATTGCTTATGTTAACCGTCTTGTTTGCTCTGAGTTTGTCAAATATGAGACTGGTCCATGATAGTGAAAACCTGGGTGTGTTGAGCACAGTTTGTCATGTAAGCCCCGCCTCTTCCTCCTGTGCTGCCAGCGAGTGACCTCGCTGTTCAGACTGAGGTCACATTGGAAAAATATCCAACCTGTCTTCGATTTGGGTCCACATATGAACGTGGCCTGAATCTGATTTGAAAAGATCAGTTTCCATGTGACTTGTGTTGTTCACACTGTCATAAAAATAAAAACAGATCGGAGTCAAATAGGAGCATTCATTCATGTCACTTCTGTCTCCAGTGTGAACGCAGCCTCAGAGACAGAGAGCGGCTTTGTTTGCATTTACCTTTTGTTTTTTAATTTGCCTTATTACTTAATGTGTGTAGGTTCCTACACTTGTGTCTATAAAGAGTTGACTTGAGCGTGCTGTGCACCTTTCTGCAGATGCTTGTGTAAATGTATGCATGCTAATGAACATGTACATGTGTTGTTGTTTGAAGTTCAACCGCCTCCTAAGGGGGGTGCTGTGGTGGAGTTGGTATCAGTGTATTCATCACCCAGAACACACCTGTGCAGCCTTTCCACATAAACACACCCTCAACACACACACCTGCAGACAGAAGCACTCGCACGCACTGACGATACAAACACTTGGGATTTCAAAATGTCACAACACCTCCTGCTGGTGCCAAAAAAAATTAAAAAATACCAAATTCAACCAAAAATACTCAAATTGGTCGGTTCTCCTCCCAAACAGGAAGCCTGATAGTCTGAAAGCTTCCACTCAATAAATAGCCTGACTCTGTGCATTAATCTCATAGAGTGACAGTCAAATGATCCTTCACCATTGACTCGAGGATGGTTTCAGGAGGTGCATTACTTCCAGTTACTCACCTCCTAAATTCTCAGTTGCCACTCTCCATTGTAGCTTTACCCTCTTTAATGCACATCATACTCAGTGATATAAACCTGTTTGTAAATTGTAGAGATGCCAAACTAATATGTCACGTTGCCATGTTGAAAACATTAAACAATCAGTTCACACTGTTTTTAACATTGACACTGCTCTGGAATCATGTCCTAGTTAAAAACATTTTTTGTTTGCTTGTTCCTCCCTAAGAGTGTTCAAGTGTTTGAATCAACATTTCTTATATGAATAATTTAGTTCAGAGCTACCATTGCTTGATACAGAGCAGAACAGTGGATGAGACATGGCTGTTTTAATTATAAAAAAAGACACTCCTTGCCTTCATTGTTAGATTGAATACATACTACATACAGTACATGTCCCTGGATGTATGCTTGAAAGCCTGAAGAGCAGCCAGCAGTACACATAAGTTGAGCTGGTCAAAGTTCCATCCACAGTGTTTTAGTTTGCTCCAGTTCACATCTAGATGAAAGGAAAATGCCCACATTTATGTTTGCCCTCAGGGTGGCACAGGAAGCATAATGTTCCAGCTTTTTCTCCTCGACATCTTACATCTCTGTGTCCACCTCAGGCAGCGTACAGAGGGGGGACGTTCTCCTTCTTGCTGCTTTACAGATTCTTAAGATGATATACTAAATCAAGTCATATCAGATACATGTTTTGATTAATTAGACCTCAATGTATTCAAAATCAACTTTAATATAGCACTGTATAAGAAGGGATGTTCATTTAAAGGACTATTACTTCCTTTTTTTATAAACAAATTTCTATTTCTACCGATCTCATCCAGTACACAGTTAAGTTACCTTAAAGGTGCATTATGGAGATTTGGTAGTGAAATTTTAAAAGTTGGAAAAGTGAAACAATTCTGTTATATTTTCTGAAATGAATACACAAACTTTACTCAAAGAAAAAAATGGTTCCCTGTAACTCTGTTTGGAGCTAAAAAGTTACCAGGACAGTTACACTTTCACTGTTGCGGACCCCCCACCATAGCTTCTCGCGTAGCATTTTATCTTCAAACTGTGATCCAGGGACCAGATTTTCCTCTGAGGTCAGTTTGTGTGTAGAGTTATGAACATATACCACATAATATGTACACTTCTCCAACTTTTACTTTTTTTCTATCAAAACTTCGTAGTGCACCTTTAAGAAATGATGGAGTATGTTCCCAAACTTTTGGCCTACAATGTTGTAAAGTATTGAAGTCATCTTTAAGCCCATGAACGTTATGCCTGCTGTGGCTGTTGTTAAAAAGTTCCTCATAACTATTAACTCTTTCAGTATGAAATTGTATTCCCAACATTGTGTTTACACTTCTTTAGAGATGCTAGGTGGCTACTTGTACGGCTAGTTAAAAGATGACACTTTGAATGAGGAAGTGGCTGTTCAGCTAACCGTTGACAAACTGGCTAACCCACACATTGCTGTCATTAAATAGTCATTAAGACGATAACTGAGAGGCTAAGAGCTAACGTAGCTAGCTGTCTGTCATTTAGCTAGCTAGTTAGCATGGTCACAAACAGGGCAATAAGTAAATGCAGTGTACATAGATGTGTTGGTACCACAGGCCTTTGGGTCTATTGCTGCCTTCATGTGCTCCTCCGAAATATTGTAGTTACTGAATTACCAGTAACAAGCACATGGCTCTGCAAAATCGTCTTTATGAGTGTGGGAAATTGGTAAATTTCATTGGTACCTGAGTTGCCGAGGTTGTTATGTTTGCGTGGTGTTTCAGGGAAACAAAAATGACAACTTGAGAACAGTGTCAACAATTAACGACGAACAAAAAAAAAGTATTTTGTTCATTTGTTCACAGTTAGCTATCGGTTATTTTTATTAGTTGCACATTTAAGTATATAGTATATGCTTCATGGTGCAGTTCATTCTTACTTGTGTTCATGTAGTTTATTTGATCACTGAAGCCAAACCCCTAAAGTGAATAAGATGTAGTCATAGAGGAATATAGTGTGTTGGCTATCCCTCGCTGTAACCGTCCTCTCTCTCTTTATGTCTTTCTCTCCGTTGTTTTTGTATCGCTGGGTTATTTGGCCACGCTACAGAGAGGGGCTTATGAATAATGCAGTTTTATGTTAGTTTGTTCTTTTTTTGTGGCGGCTGGCTCTGATGTGAATGATGCAATCAGAGGTTCATTCAGGTTCCTGGTTATTCTGGGCAGCAGGTGGTTCCACAAAAGAAATGTTGGCACCCCGAACCAATTGGATGCTTGGTAAAAAATAAACAATTTCTGAAAACCAACAATAGCACAAAGATTACGAGTTTTTCTTTACTTTGACATTGATCCCAAATGGATTGCCAAATGTTTTCCATGTAAGATATAAACGAGCTCCTGTTGTGTCTTTTTGCTGTTTTGTATTTGCCTTTAAAAAGAAAAGATTTCCTTTAAATGCTTTTTGTTTATCTTACTGTGTGCTCAGCTTTCCATCAACCCTAATGTTAAATAAAAGAAGCATTTCAGCTTCCTCACAACCAGGGACATCCTGTTCTTCTGCTGTACTGTAGAGGATTCAGATAGCTGCTGCAGGGTAAATAAACCTAATGAGCTTGTACAGAAAAAGGAGGCAGAATATAACTTGTAGACCTTCTCTCAGCCCTCAACTCTCTGTTCCCCACACCATTTAACCCCTCTCTTAAAGTTAACCAAAGATGCTTCTATTGTACAGACACCTGCAGCAAAATCCAAAACACATCTTTTTGTGTTTTTTGTCCGTATGTGTGTGCGTGTGTGTGTGTGTCTGTGTGTGTGTGTGTGTGTGAGTGAGTGAGTGTGTTGTATTTTACTGAGCACTGTAAGTAAAATGTGTCGGCTGTATCTCCCTCACTGCTGTAATAATTTATTGAAAGTTGTATTTATACCTGAGAGAAATGTCAATAAAGCACCACGTGAGTAACTTGAGCCCCATGATTATTATGCACACGCAATAAAAAAAGTTTTACCACTCCCCCCCACCCCCTTCCAGTGTCTCTATCTCGCCTGTCTTCGGTCCTTTCCCTCTGAGTAAAGTTTTAATTAAAACGAGAGGCAACGGGTGTGTGTTTTTATTTCTCTCTCCATCTTTATCTGTGAAACTTTTCGGCTCATTTATGTCAAGTTTAAACTCAAGGTTGGCCATAACACTGATAATCTCTCCTCAGGTTTCTTTTTCAAATTGTAAAAGTAATTAATGTTTGTTAACTCCAACTTTTCCCTTCTTTCTTCTTCTCCTCTCTTTCATTTCACTTTGTCTCCCTGTCTGTCACTGATCTTCTCGGTATGCCCTCTCTCCTGTCCTCTCTGTTCACACCTCCTCTGCTCCCTTCACGTTTCCCTCATATTTGTGACATGTGTGATATGTCACTTATGTAACCCCATTTTGTCTTTTTTTTGCACTCTTTGTCATCTTATACTTTCTCCATCTTCCCCATCCGTTTCTTTCTCCCTCGTTCATTCCCCTCCTCTGCTGCAGAATCGCATGCACGAGTCCCTGATGCTCTTCGACTCCATCTGCAACAACAAGTTCTTCATCGACACCTCCATCATCCTCTTCCTCAACAAAAAGGATCTGTTTGCCGAGAAGATCAAGAAGTCTGCACTGAGCATCTGCTTCCCTGAATACACAGGTAATAAAAAGTAACATCCTGTTTGTTGTTATGAGTGTATAGGTGTGAAATAGCAGCTCTATACGGAAGGTGCAGCAAAACTTGACAAGGAGAACAACATCGATTTTTCTCCGAGAAAGAAAATAAGCTATGAAACAGTGAATCTGAATCCAATTACACAGGACAGAAAAAGAGCCAAGCGAACCATAAATCCACTGATCGGCTTGTTAGGCTGTGAAACAAGAAACATGTCAAAACACTGCAGGACTGTTTTAGCTTCATCCGCTTCATGAAGAAAGATATAAACGAGCTGGTTCACCTGCAGACATCTTCCAAACATGACCACGAGTTGAGTTCAAGTCAGTGTGGAAAATGCTCCTCCAGCTTATTTGAAAAAGGACTTTAGTTTTGGACATTTTGGGATAGTTACCGTCTTCTTGAACAGGAGCTGAAAAGACAGAAGACAACAGTTTTCTAAGCTTAGCTTAAAGTTGTCTCTTTCCTTGTCCATCTTCACGTTGGCTTTATAAGTTCAGAATCGCCACAGGTCCTAAAACCAGGAAGTAAGTTAGCATGTTAGCTCCATGGGGTCTAACGTCTAAAAGTCAATGTGGATTTTGAATGTGTTTGTGGTTAGATGCCTGAAATAAGGTCTGTGGTTAACACAAGCTGAAGAGATGTTGGTGTTTTGTTAGACCACATAAACTACGTTAGGTAACACCCCCACTTATGAATTTTGAAGTTTTTACTCGTCTTTAAAAAGGCGGTTGCTAACAAGTGGCTAAATGTGACTACAGTGGTTGTCGGGGACATTAAACGTCATCATGCCGGACACAGAGGGCGGGAACTCTCTCACTAGTCGGAGATGTCTCCTGTAGGTTTAATCTTTAGGTTAAGGTGACTATTATGTTAGGAAACTATTTATTAAACTACGTGGATTAGTTTATCGGAGATCGTCTGAAGCATAACGCTAGTGATGTCACAATCATCCGACCGTGCTGTAGTTAGCTTGTAGCATAACATTAGCTTTTTACTTCTGTCGGCTGCATTAACTCTTCAAACATCATAAAAATGGTGTTCATCTGTGAAGATTATCCTGCTGAACAAAACGCCTACGCTTCAGAAACGTGCGTTTGCCACAGAGATTATTTTCTGCAATGATCCAAAATCCAATGAAAAAATCCCATAGGAGAATTCTCATTAGACCCCATGGAGATGCTACTTCCGGGTTGGCCTACAAAAATACGTCATATGGTTTGTTCTCTATTGTCCCATACTGTAGACATCAAGGTAACAGCTGAATACACATACCATAACATCCGGTACCTACAGTATTTTTTAATCTATAAAGTTTGCTGCGTCTTCTACACCAGTGCGACCAATACACCAGTATAAAATGCTGACACACGCACCGTCATAACCGCGTCTGAAGGCGTCACCATCACGCACTGCACGCAAGGTGAAGTGATTCCTGATTCATTTTGTATTGCAAGCTGATTGCGACCTGTGCTAGGATACATATAGGCTGGCAGTGTTAGTTTTAACATCTTTTCTAACACCCTCATGCATATAAAGCAAACGGTGGCATATTGTTATGATTAAAAGACTCCTGTATTAAAGTCAGAGTTGGGCAGTGCGACTCACAGACTTTTCCCTGCAGCCTGAGAGCTCACCTACCGTACTGTAGCTAGTAGGAGTGCAAACTCCACTAAGAGAAAACAGACGTTACTAAAAGAGCGACACAGCTGTATACAAACTGCACGTTGTAGACTTCACTGAACACGATATAAATCATCACACAGGACGACAGTTTAACCTTTTTTTTATTTCTGGGAACTGCGTCTTATATACCGGTGAGACTTATAATCAGGATTTTACTCTACATGCAAACAGTTTGCAAACAACGGGCTGTAAAATCTAGCAGAGTCATTTCAGCTCAAAATCACTGAACCTCATCAGCTGGAAGGTTCTTTAGCTTTTCACAGTGTCTTTTCTAACTCCAGTAAAGATGTTGTGAGACGTTCTGCTTGTAAACAAGGGCACTTGAGGGGAAGGCGTTTACAGCACCTTGTGTTTTATGACTGTGCAGTAGCACTCAGAGACCTTCAGCGGGCGCCAAAGTGAAGACAAAGGATTCTTTACAATAACGATTATGTGCTGAGAGAAAAAAGTTCACACAGATGTATATGAAATAAAAACAATTGGAAAAAAATCAAATCTACCAACAAAAGTGAAGCTAATAGTATTGGATGTTTTAAGCTAAGACCGGTGCTTTCTTCAGTTTAGCACTGCCCCCACCCGGGGGAGGAGAGATGGCCCCGCCCACTCAGGGACGCTGGTAGTAAGTAGAGGCATAATGGTGAAGTTTCAGTACTAGAATACAAATCAAGGAGAACCAAGAGACTTTCCGAACTGAAGATAAGACTTTTTTGGAATAAAATACTTGAAGAAATAAGAACCGAATCCACTTTGGTCTGCATATCTGAATGGAGTTCAGCGGCAGTAACAGCTGCAACATCTACTCACAAAGTCACATATCATACCTGAAAGAAGCATTTTTCTAAGCAGCTTTTAGTAATGTCTAACTTTCATATTTAATCTTAATAACCCTCAGATACACCTGTCTGAGAGCTGATGTAAAGATGCTGAAACTTAAACTGATGCTGATGTTGAGTCTGATGTGATGAAAGAAAAAGAGTGACAAGAGGACCAGTCATTAAAATGTAACTAAGTGTGAGCAAACAGCAGCAGTCAGACCGTTATGTGATCTCCATAACTGCTATTGTCACTTGGAAATCCTGCACTTTTAATCAAACCAGATGTTGACAGCAGTTTTAATCATCAGAAGTTAGCAGGAGAGATAGTTTCCTCTATTCGCCCACACATTCCCGACATTTCCTGCAGCCAGCAGAGTAATTTTGGAAGAGAGAGGGGCTGCCTTGTTAGACACAGAGCGGAGCCTCCAGTAGGTAGGGGGTTTCTCTCCACCTTAAGATATTGCTATGCCATGGTATGAAGCAATTCTACATGAAACAAGAGTAAGACATGTCTTACTCTTGTTTCATGTAGAATTGCTTTTTTCTGGTTTCCCTTATACCCCGCTTTAATGGTTTGCTCCAATAAGGGCGGGGCCAAGAGAGGTATAAAAGGAGGCTCAGCAATAAACATTGGGGGAAAGGGACCAGCACATTTAGGCATGGTGGGGAATGAGAGGGCAGACGAGTTGGTGAAGGAGGGAGTAAAGAGGGGAGATGTTGAAGCCAGTGTTAGATGATTCAAATCAGAGGGCAGAAGTATAAGTGTGGAAGGAAGTAAATCAGCTGTCGCAACAGAACAGGGATAATGAAACCAAAGGAAGGCATTTACACACAATACAGGAACAGGGGAAATAAAAAGCAAAGAGCAGTAAGTAATAGTAAGCGGGCTGAGAATCTGTACACTTAATGGGGAAACATCCAACAGGATGAGTGACAATTGTCAACAGACAGAAACAGTAGAGCCTCATATCGAGCAGGACATTCAAACAGAAGAGACGAGTATTGATGCAGAAATCGGGACGTGTGGAAGCCAATGTGAAGAGCATCTTGGAGTGAGGAGGATGTGCACAAAGGAGGAAAGGGATAGTGTAAGATCTAAATATGACCCAACTTGACGGGTGGAAACTGTTGCTTGTAGCAGCTTGCTGTGAGCCTGTGTTTCTTACAGTGGATTTAGACTGGTAATTTAGGAGAGGCTATTTTTTTCTTGCTCTTTTTAGGCAATTTTGTTGAATAAATACACTGCTTTTTTTTTGTGGATTATGGCCTCCTGTGCAATTTCTCCAGCAAACATCACTAGAGCCAAACAGCCTCTCTTAAATCACATATTTATGTAGTTAATTAAATTATGTTATTCTACAGACAGAAAACAAAATATTCAAAATCAGGTTACTTGCTTGTGTTAAGAATGGAAGAGGAGAAAAAGTAAGAGGACATAGTGATGAAGAGAGGGATGCTCTGAGAGGCTGAGGAAGAAGAAGAGGAGGAGTAGGGGGAGAGAAAAAAAGGCACACAGAGGTCTCCATGTTGAGGTGAGAGTCAGATGTAGCCGTGACAGTAAGAAGCAGGGATTTAAAGCCAGAGAGCAGGAGACTGTCACGCTTGGTCAGCCAAGAAGTTGAGAGAGAGGAGATGGAAAGAGAGAGCTGTCTCCTGCCCTCTTCACACATGCAGCTCTTTTAAGCAAATCCTTATCATCTCTGTCTCTCATACTTTACCTTTTTCAGCAAACTGCTGATAATCACAGTAAGTCTATGCGACATGTTCCTTCTTTTTCCTGCTCCAGCGTCACGTCCTCTCTTACCTCACAGAGTGACTCTCAGAGAATATTGTTGTTATAGACTTTCTTCTGTTTTCTTCAACAACAGTGAATAAGAGGGGCTGATGTATTATGCATTTTGAATCTGACTTTATTTTTAAACTGAAGAAGATGGAGAAATATAATTTCAATGAGAGGGATTTACTCTTGAAACAAAGGCAGGGAAATTGTCATATATAAAGAGATAAACAGTTGTTCAATGGAGGGCGGCAGTTCCTCAGTCTGTAGGGACTTGTGTTGGGAACTGGAGGGCAGCGGGGTTCAAGTCCTGGTGCAGACCAAAGTATGGAAGTTGGTCTGGTAGCTGGAGAGGTGCCAGGTCATATCCCGAGTACTGCCACAGCTCTGGTGCGCTCCCACTCTGACATCTCTCCACTAGTTCATGTCCACAGGTCCTGTTTGTGCATGTGTGTGATTCAGGTCTATGTGTGTGAGGAGCATGTCTCTCAATAACAGAGTGTAAACTTAGATTTCCCCTTTGGGATTAATAAAATATGTGGGCGGCTGTGGCTCAGCAGCCCATTTATTATTTTTTTTACCGTTTACCGTACCTCTGCCGACAGCGTCTCTGAGTGGGCGGGGCCGTATCTCTTCCCCTATGTGGTAGCATAGCTTACAGTTGAAGAGGACGGGGCTCAGGCCCAATGAAAACATTTATGGAACATGTTTGAACCTCTTAGTGAAACATAAACAAGCTCGAAGGAAGCATCGTCCCGTCAGTGTGAACACAGAGCTAAGAACAAAACAGAAAGTCATGACTCACATACATTTAGTTATTATGATATATTTGGTTTCTGGTGTATTAATTATTAAAATGTTTTATATTATACCTTCACTTAAAGACCAACACAGTCTGACCAGTCAAAATAGGAAGTAGAACAGTAAGATGAACGGCTGATCCAAGAGATGTAAACCTATCCAATGTCAGACTGTTGAACAGTTATTTCCCCCCGCTCCGTCAGTGTTTCATGATGAACATAGTGTTTGTCAGATATTTTCAAACATTTCAGCAGGAACATTTGTCAAAAGCAGCAAATGTCAATCTGCATGATGAGAACAAATCACATAGTTGACAACACTTCCTCGTTGCTAAAAACTTTCAATTAATGAATCTTTTCCTGGCCCTCCTGTGGCTGGTAAATACCGTCAGTGATTAATAATAATTTAGAATAAAGTCATGACAGTGATGTGCTTATGAGGGTTGGTAACTCATCAACGTTTCAGTACAAAATATTCAGGATGCATAAAAAAACAGAGGACGCATCCCAGAGACACACGCGCCATGAATCGCTCCGGGCTCAGAAACAGGAGCAGGTTTTTTCAGATGGAGAACACCAGGGGAATATCTGCCTCTCAATTCCCATCAGTCGACCCCCTTTTTAAAATTCAGGGAGCCACCATTTTGAAAATGTTTTGTTTGAAAATTCATCTTTGCATCTTTCCGCTCCCCCTGTGCAGGACCCAACACCTACGAGGACGCCGCATCCTACATCCAAGCACAGTTTGAGAGCAAGAACCGCTCTCCAAACAAGGAAATCTACTGTCACTTGACATGCGCCACAGATACAGGAAACATCCAGGTGGTGTTCGACGCCGTGACCGACATCATCATCGCCAACAACCTCCGAGGGTGTGGCTTGTACTGAGCACGCCCACACACACCCTGTAATGTCCTCCCCCCCTCCTTTGTCCCCCTCCTCTCTCTGTCTCTCTCTGTCTCTCTCTCTCTCTCTCTCTCTCTCTCTCTCTCTCTCTCTCTCTCTATCTATCCCTTCCTGCTCTCCCCTCCTCCTCCTCCTCCCCCTCGCCCCTGTTCCTTTGACACTGCTGTGGAAATGATGATGGTGATGATGACGATGATGATTCTGCTGATTATTTAAAGAAAAAAAGAAAGAAAAATGCAACTAGGTACATATTAATAATGAGGATAATTTAAAAAAAAATAGGCATACGTATATATAAATATATATATATAATGTTTTTAGTTCTTGTCTCTTCTTCTCTCGCTCCAACTTCTCCTCCTGATGTTCTTTGGCGCTGCCGATCAAACAGATCTGTTTGAGTAGAAAACATGAAACCCTGCAGCCTATGGAAACTTCTTGAACAAAGAAAGCCTCTAGTTCTCCTCTCTTTTGCTTTCTCAGCCGTGTCTTTTTGTTGTTAACAAAAACAAAAACCTGTACCTTTTTCTTTTTTGCTGATTTTTTTTTATTATTATATCTATGAATATGACTTCTGTTTTATTTTTGTTGATCGTGTGTATATTTATTACATGAGTATCAGTCTGTACACTGATTTTTATTCACATTTTGCCTCACCTTGACACCTTTTTTTTGTGTATTATGTTGTTTGTTATTTTTTTGCTAAAGTAGTGATTATGTATTAATTTTGGCAGAAATGTTAAAATGTCGATAGCACTAAAAAAAAACTAAAAAAAACAAGACAGGTCAGTGAAAACCTTTAAAAAAAAACAACCTTTTGAGACCTGCTGAAACTGACACCAGTGATTTTAACATGACTCTTTTGTTTACATTAGTGGAGACATTCAAAATGTTTGTAGTCAATTTTATAAGTCTCTTGTTTGTTTTTTAATCCCAACTTTAAATTTTTCACGGACAGAAAGACAGACTTCCTGTTCCCCCAGCCTGGCCTTAGCTGTTAGCCAATCGCTAATCATGGTGGAACCTGAGAGCCAATAGGAAATGTGCTAAATGTCTTATCAGTGCCATGTAACAGAGGTACTGTACTGTAGATAGCTCCGCTTTTAGAAGCAACTTCACCACGTTATAACTCTACCTTCCTCACTGTTATAACCTGTAGACCTACTAACATTCTCCATGTCAGGAAACTCACTCCTGCTCTGATAATGGTTGATTCATTTATTCATTTATTTATTGACTGATCGCCTGTCCTTCACACACCCCTTTCTCTCTCTCTCTCTCTCTCTCTCTCTCTCTCTCTCTCTCATTTACACACCACCACCATACCTTTTCTTCTCTTACCCACATCTGTCTCTCTCTATTTTTCTCCTTCTTTTTGCATGGTGCCCTGGCATCCTTCTCTCACGGTTAAAGGTCCTCTCCCTTTTCTTCAAACCATCCCCTCCCCTCCTCCTCCTCCTCCTCCTCTTCCTCCCAAAGCCTTGACACAGTTAGCATGAGATACTCAAGCCTTTGTATAAAGAGAGCAGTTAACTCATAAAACTTAAAAAAAAAAAAAAAAAAGAAGCTTCACACTGATGCTGTTGGGATAATAACTTCTTAAAAATCCTTGTTATAAAAATTGCAAAAGGTGAATAAAAAAAAAGGAGGAATTAAAAAAAAAAAAAAAGAGCTGCAAGGACAGATAGCAGTAACAGAAGGAGAGTGGTGATTAGTTCCTGAATGGGCGGAGTGGGGTCACATAAAAGAAGAAAGTCCACGTTTTGAAGGGTTGGCAGATCATGTGGGAGGCTTGGAAGAAGAAGTTTAGACGTTGGGATTCTTACACTGATGCAGAATTTGAATTTTAAAAATAATCTACTACTCCTCCTGCGATGGTTGATAAAACCAGTTAAAGTGGGTATTACGACCACATCAACAACAATAACGATCCTGTAATATTCTCAAACAAAAAAAAAACTTTCTTGTGCTTTGTAGCTACAAAACATTTTCTTCTCTATAACTCCATTTTTTTAAATATAGAGATGTTTTGCAAAGGGGTTTCCTGCTCGACAAGCGATCTCAGACTGACCCCATGTTGTTGTGATGCTCTGAACTGTTCCCCCGTCCCCCCATCTCCTTTTACCGTTTTGCCTGTTTCCCTGCATTAGAACCGTGTCCTCACTCTAGCCTGACTCAGAACGATTAAATATAATATTATAACGATATCTATTTTTTATTATTTCAGAGAGAAAAAAACACTTTTTTTGGGGAGAGCACGTTTCTCGCTGCGTCCGCTAGTTAGGGACGCCGCATGTTCACACATCAACGCTGTATAAAGTCATGCTCCTTTCTTCTTCTTCTTCTTCTCTGTCTCTTTTCAGTTTGGCACACATCTTCCAAGTCTACAATGAAAAGCACAGTTCTCATGTCTCACAAACACACACACACACACACACACACACACACACACACACACACACACACAATAAGTAGATTTGGAAACTCGTTCTCTCTTCATACCTAATCTATGTTACCTCTATCTATATAGACCTCTCTTTCTTGACATTTTGATTTCTACTTTTTAAAAGAGAAAACAGCTGTGTATAATGACATGATATACCTGTTCCTTTGGCATTCTGTTCCTGTTATCTTCATTATTTCTTTGATTTTTCTTTTTACCTTCTCTGTTCTTTATCCAGTGAATGCTTTTTTTCTGTGCAGCTTTTCTCTCTCTCTCTCTCTCTCTCTCTCGCTCTCTCTCCTTTTCTCTCCTCCTCTACTCCTCTTTAGTGAATGGTTGTTATTTCATGTGGGATGTCCGTGCTGGAAAAACCAATCGAATGTAGTGTTTACATTAAAAAGCCACTGTTTTCATGACTACAACCCGGTCGTCCCGTCTTCCAGTCATTCAGTATGATCACTGCCTCTGTGTCTACCCGCTTCCAGGAAGATCTCCACTGCAGTGTCACAGTCCAATCAGGCCGAGTACATTCAGCGTTTCAGAGAGGATTCATGCTTAATCTGCATGCTTTAAGAGGATGCTGAAAAAAGGGGGCTTGATTGTAGGAAATCTCTGCAAATGACACGTGTTATCTCTAAGCTGACTCAAAGTAGATGCTTGAGTCACATATGCTAGAACACCTGGTGACATGAGATATGGACTAAGCTTTCTGCTCGTTCTCTGCGTTCATTTTGTCCTAATTCTGCACGATTTCTGGAAACAAACGTTACCACTGGAAGTCGAGGGGTCAGTGTCCAGTAGTGTAGCCAATAGTTGAAGCCAGTCCAGCAAAACACAACAAAGGAGAATACTAAAATGGTGAAACTTTTTGAGGAAAGATTGGGAGAGTTGGTTAGGAACTATGAATATATATAAGATGCATATGATGTTACCTCACCTAGGTACAAGGACAGAAAACTGTGGACACATCATTGAATGTCTATCCCAATGTAAAGGATGTGTGGGAGTATATGGGCAGTGACAGTTATATTGTTTCAAACATACACATCTTTTTTCATAAGTGAAGAAAGTATAAATCAGCTTTAAAGAGGACATATTCTCCCCCTTTTCCACCTTTTCAAACAGTCCCCTGTGGTCTAAGTGAAACATCTGTGCTGTGCTTTGGTCAAAATATAACATGAATCAAGCACCAGAGGAGGTTTGTGACCCTGTATAAACCAGCTCTCTCAGAACGCTCCGTTTTGGTGTGTGTGTCTCTTTAAATGTAATGACCCCCCCCCCCCGAGTTTTCCCCATAGACATCACTTCTGTAGAGAGAATAAAAATGGTGGAACTGCGCAAACGTTTTGTTCAAGTCTGGGGGTGGAGTGGATTTTTTTTTTTTACCAGAATCCCACTGTGACATCACAAGGAGAGCACATTTGAAACAGAGCATTTTCCTCTGTGTTGTAAGACTTATGTAGACCATAAACAAAGGACTGGATGGGTTTATTTCACATTTTGTGATTCAGTAGAAACTCAGGTTACCCAAATATATGTTCAAAAACACTGTAGAAGTGGAATTTCCATATTATGTCCCCTTTAATGGAGAAGTTTGCTGCTTGGAAGATCACACAAATAGACTGTCTATGCAGTTGAAAGGTGAAAAAACATGGGCGCTAGTTTGCAACAGAAATTCTAGAAAAGGGTCTGTGTCATTTCGTTTAAGCCCAAAGAGTTCAAATACTTCAACACGTCTTCCAAGGACACTTCCAGGCTGTTCCCTATTGGACAGACTAGCGCTCCAGCCAGCTCTTTCCCTCTCTCCTCAATGGCTGGTGTAACTTCACCCTTTGCTGCAGTGACCTCACCTCTTGCTCCTCTGCACGCCCTTGTTCCTCCACACTGCATTCTGAATCATATGAGTAGCCCTGAACGTCTGACTCCAACATCACCGTATTAAAATAGTTTTCATCCATATCCACACAGTAACCCTGATTTCTGACATATTCTTCCGATGTGTGTTCTCTCCAGTTGATCTATGACCTGATGTTGTTCAGTCCCTCTCTCCTTCCACTCTGTGGGCAATGCAAAAGTTTGCTTGAGTTTTCCTTGTTCATGAGCAAGGAGATTTTCTTGCAGTCAACACTAAGGGAAGTGAAACGTTGTGCATATATCTATTAAATTGCTGCGCATTGTGTTAAAAAAATGTAAAGGTCACATATTATTCTAACACTAATGTGTCCTTAGCCTGTCTACAAACCCCAAATCATGAGAAAAGTCCATCTTCTTTGTCTTTTATCTGCTCCACTTTTTACAAATTGCATGCTCAAACAGGCCGGTTGGAGATTTTTCCCTTCATGACATCACAAAGGGCAGTAACCCCTTCCCCAAATGGGTGACACTCCCACAGCTAGGTGTTTGTTCTGCCCTCTGAGTCTGCCTTCTCACCGTAAACAATAGGACATGGAGGGAGAAAGCACCGAGTACACCCAAGCCCTTCCAGAGAGGGGGCGTGGTCAGACACAGCTCATTTACATATTTAAAGGTACAGACACAGAAACAGCCTGTTCTGAGCAGGGCTGAAATAGAGGGGTTTATAGACATGATCAAATACAGGATCAGAGTGGATTTAGAACAAGAAACTTCACACACATGTTTTGGGGAGCTCAGAGACTTATTTAAACTTCCTTAAAGGAGTCTGACATATGACCTTTGAGAAGGCTCACTGGAACTAAAATCACACCTCTTCAGGGAAAAGCTTGCCAGCAGAAACATAAAAACCCTTTGAACAATAGGAAATAAAGTCAGTCCACTACAAAAGCTGAAATATAACCAGCTTCAGGTTTAATGTGGGTTCACACTCACTTCCACAAAGACACGGCGATTTATCACTTCCAATAGGCTACATGTTTGCAGGCTCTAACTGCATAAAGCTGGTGGATACCTCTGCTGGGACAAGGCAGAACAATGAATTATCTCAGGGAGAAACACTTACTAATGACTTTGTGAAGTGTTTCTGCTAACCCATGGGACTTTGCAGCAAAGATTATTTTCTCCTCCAAAACTTTTCAAGATACTAGATAACAAAGCCCATTGTTTCTTCTCAGCTTTGCACCATCCTGAATATGCACTCTGGGTGTTTTTTGTGCATTTATCAGCTTCTGCATTACACTGAAGAGTACTTCTACTTTCTGGTTATTGTATAAAGATTAACAGGCTGTTTTTATAACATCTGATAAATAGACTCTTAATGGAGGTTTCCTTATCAAAGCATATAAGGAAACTATAAGGAAGGTAACTGCCACTCAAACACTTTTTGTGACATTTTCTCATAACTTGTATTGCTGATTGGAGAGGCAGCTTAAGTAAAGCTTTCATAATATTAATTAGTATTAGTAGACAACAAAAGGTTTACCCATGCAGCCGATGTAACTCAGGGATGAGTAAGGTCGGATTGTGGGCACTACTCTTTGTTCTGAAATGTGCTTGTGGATTGGATGGATTGCTATAATTAAGAGACACATTGTTCACAGAAAACTCTATCAAAATTAGCTTCTTTTCTCTTGCACAACCTTGAGTTTTACTAGAATTCAGTAAAATATCGGCCAAAATGTTTGCAAAGAAAGCTTTTCACATGGTGATGTATAATAACTGTATTCATTCCCATGACCATCTTTCATAACCTGGACAAAGCTTGAATAATTTTAATGTACAAAACTTTTTTCACAGACTATTTGAAGACATTGATACGACCTCTTTTTAAAGACCAGATTTAACCAAGACATCTCCTCCTGTCACAAGATTTCTCACACATTTACACAGATATTAACAGGGCTTTTTGACTCTAAGTTCAAACATTATAGAGAGCCTCCACCCCCCTCCTCTCGAGATTCAATGCACATGCAGGTTGCCATGTCACGGACACTGAAGCTTCAGTGTTTATCCAGCTCTTCTTCAATCTGTAAACCTTTCTGCGTTCTAACCTCTCTCTATTTTTCAAAAGCATCTCTAATATTGATCCTAGTTTTAGCACGTTTCTGCTCGTGGAGCTTATTACAAACATGCAGAGGCTTTTTAGGTCGGGTACAATCACTTCTATCTGAAGCACTTCTCTTGACCGCTTCCATCGCTGCAACACCTGTTGGTTTGACCTGATAACTGCTCTCATATCTGGCAAACCGAGGGGCGTCCAAAACGGCTGTGTGGGGGTGCCCTAAAAGTGCCTACCTTCTCTGGTAAAAAGAAAAAACTATTCAGGAGCAGAATCTAAAGTTAGAAGGAGGACATACTGGCTGCTGCATTGTTGTCAGAGAAGCCAGCACTTCAACATAGCATGTTTCCTTAATGTCTGATCAGATAGTAAGGTCTTTTTATGATTTAATTCAGTAGATATCTTACATATGTCACTAAGCCACTGTATTCTTCCAAATCTTCCCTCCTGTCACTTATCAGTTAATTCAACACCCAGGGGTCTTTCTGTCTCATAGTCAGAGCTGCACAGCTTAAGTACCTGCACATCCACAGTCTTACTTCATCTTCATCTCATGTGGGGAATGTTTTAAAACTGATCTCTTCATAATGTCTCTGATCATGAAAAAAATAAAATAAAATGCGTTGAAATTACGTCTAAAATGAACAATTTTACCGAAATCAATCAGTAAAATTGTGTCATGTCATGTGAACCGTTGAAATTGAAAATAGTTGAAAACAAGTCTTTGATGACCGACCTGATTTTCATCCTGTTTTCAACCAAATATCAACATTGAAATGACTGTAAGTGCTGTCTGAAAATGAGCAGGAAATGAAGAAATTTCAAGAGGATGGAAAATGTAAAAGCCTGATAGGAGTGTCATGGTTCAAATGTCTGTTCCTCCCACACACACACACACACACACACACACACACACACACACACACACACAAAATGTTCACACATAATCAGAGAGATATAAACATGTTGCTTCCTGTCCTCCCCTCAGCTCCAGTGTTGGGCAAGTTACTTTAAAAAAGTAATTAGTTACAGTTACTAGTTACTTCTCCCAAAAAGTAACTAAAGTAGTTACTGAGTAACAAATTATAAAAGTAACTAGTTACTTTGGAAAGTAACTATTTCGTTACTTTCAAGTCAATTTTTAAATGCTCAAATGTGTCAAAGAATTTGGACCCCACCTCCACCCCTCTTTAACAGAACTTAAAATACATGTGCATGTTCAATTATTTATGATAAATCTGAATATTATAATGAAATGGACACTTAATACAATCAATAATTAACAGAAACAGTGTACACAAATCTAAACTATTTTAATGTTGCTGTGGGACAAAGTGAGACTAGCCTCCAATCAAATGTCATGTATTATTGTAGATATTATAATTACTATGTTTATATAGTGGATCCATAAAAATGACATAATAGATGTTTTGTCTGCTGTGGTAGACA